CACCTGAACTCCCAAACCCCCCTGGCGCACCAAACCCCCCTGAACCCCCAACCGCTCCCGAACCGCCAACCGCACCTGGTGTTCCGAACGTCCCTGCCAGGCCTGGTGAGGCAGAGCGCACACCCCCCATATGGTCCAACTGTCTGAGTGCTTCCGGGTGCATGGGCGTGTGTATGGCCGCTGCACCCCCCACCACCCCCATGTGAGTATGACCCGCCTGTGCCCCTCCCAAAGCAGCAACCGGAGTGACAGCCAGCCCTGCACCCCCCACTCCGCTTCCGCCCAGGTTCACTCCTTCCCCTCCCACCACCCCAGCACTGTCAGTGGCCCAGGGAACCAATGTCTTCACTGGTGTTGCCTCAGCACCTGGCCCTGCAATTGCTGCTCCCAGAAGATCCGGGTTCAAATCCTGCTGCCGCGCATAATCCCAGCCCAGAACCAGGTGCGGATTGGCCCTGAGAAACCGTTTTTTCCAGAGGTTGGTTGTGCGGCCAGCAGCAGAACCAGGAAAGAGTAGGTTGAACCCTCCAACCCCTCCTGCTTCTCTCATTTGACCCATGAACTGACAGTAATACTCCTCCTCCTGCTCCCTAGATTTGAGATCGAACCGGAGGTCAAAACCCCACACCGTCCATTTCTCCGCTTCATCTGCCTCCTCCTCCCCTTCCTCCTCTGAAGTGTCCCCTATCAGCAAGAGCTCATCACGCTCTCCTGCTCCTGCTCCCAGCCCTGCCCCTCCTCCCTCCTCTGCTGGTTCTACTGCAGGCTCTATTGTACTCGCTATAGCATGCTCCGTTCCACTATCTATAACACAATTTGTTTCATTTACTACAGCCTGCTGTATGACGTCCAACCCCCGGAGTGTCCTCCTCTCCACAGTAACGAGCGCCAGGCAAGCCCCCTCATTACTGTCACCCCCCCTTGTGGCATCATCTCCTGCTGTCCCCACCATGCTGACCTCGTTCTGCTCACCTTCCTCACCCCCAGGAACACCCACCACACCCCCTCTCCCATCACCACCTGTCAAACGGCCCACACATTCTGTGTGATTCCCTCCTCCTGCCTCATTACCCCCTTCCGCCACTGCCACCACACCCCCACTCCCATCACCACCTGCCATACACTCCACGACTGTCCCACTCCCCTCTCCTGTCTTATTCCCCCCTCCTGCATCATTACCCCCGTCCCTCACTGCCACCTGCATCTCGCCCCCAACTGCTCCCCACACCTCGCCCTCCCCTGCCCCCTCCTCACTTGCTTCCACGCCTGCCTCATGCATCCCCACCGTTCCTCCCAGACCCAATACCTCGTCCCCTGACCCCGCGTCTCCGTCCTTTGCCCCTAGCCCCGCCCTTCCCTCTTCCACCACTGCCACGGGTCCCTCCTCTTCTGCCGCTCTTCCCTCCGGAACCCCTGACTTCTGTCCCCCCTCACGCTCGCCGGCTGCACCCTCAGAAATCTCCCCCATGACTGCCCCCCCTTCCCCAGTTGTACCTGCCCCAACTGTAACCGCCACAGTTGTACCTGTCCCAACTGTAACAGCCACAGTTGCACCGACCCCAGCGGTACCTCCACCCTCCTCTGCTGCAGCACCAACAGCGCCCAGACCCTCCCTTCCCATACCTCCCAAGTCCCCACTTTCCTCCCCCTGCTCCCCGTCCTCCTCGTGTGCTTCCCCCTCATCTTGGTCGGCCCCCTCCTCTCCTCCCTCCTTTCCTCTCTCCTCCCAGCCCCCCACCTTTTCCTCCTCCTCCTGCTCTTCCACCTCCTCATCCTGCTCTTGCTCCTGTTCTTCACCTGCTTCTTCCCCCTCTTCCTCTGCTTCTTCCCCTCCCTCCTCATCCCACCGCTCCTCTTCTTCCTCCCCGTCTTCTTCCTCTTGCTCTCCGTTATCATCTCCTTCCTCCTCTTCCTCCTCCGCTTCCTCTTCCTCTCCTCCCTCACCCCCCTCCTCCCCTTCCTCTCCTTCTTCCTCCTCCTCCTCACTGTCCCATCCTCTCTTTCTGCTCAACCTTTTGGATCTCCTCACCCCATCCGCTTCCGCTACCCCTCTCTTCCTTCCCCGCGCCTTTTCCCCCTCACCCACACCTTCCCCCTCAACCTCCGCGCCCTTCCCCCGCGCCTCCGCGCCCTCTGGCTCCGAGACCCCCTCAAACTGCTTCTGCAGACTCATCCGCGCGGCGATCCCGCGGGTGATCCGCCTCTCCACCACTCCCGCGCTCCCCCCTTCGGCGCGGCCGCCTTCCCCCTTACCAGCCGCGGGGGCGATCGACTTCCGCGGTCGCCCAGGCCTCTTCCTTGTCTGGGGGAGCGAATCAGCGGGCGCGGACAGCGGGGGCGCACCAGCGGAGGCGGACGCGGGCAGCGCAAACATGTTGCTTAGCGCGAGGCTCCCCATTCTGTCTACATGTCCCGCGGAACCCGCGAACGCCGGGAGGTTGACAAGGCTTGCGCTTTCCGCGGAAGCGGGGGGCGGGTTTGGCGCAGAGAGGGATTCCCAATGAGAGAAACCCGACATATCCACTCCGATCGGCTCTGACATTACCTCCATAACCCCCCCGTGCTGCTCCTCCAGCTGTTCGTGCGGCTGCTTCGGCTGCGCGTGCGGGTGCGACTGGGGGAGCTGCTGCGACTCCACCCGCGGCGATTGCGGAAGCTGCTGCGCAGACGGCGCGGACTGCCCCGCCCCCAGCGTAGGACTGACATCCGCGTCGGGCTGACAAGGGGAACTAGATTGCGGACCAGACGAGTCATCGGAAATCGACCCTACTTCCCGCTCTCCGTTCTCGAGCTCTGTCCGCGATAACACTGCGCAGTCTGCGGCGGGCTGGGCCTCCGCCAGCGGGGAACGCGGGGAGTTAGGTGGCGATGACTGGGGCGCTACGGGCTCCGGAACACGCGCGAGCTGCGCATCCGCGACCTGCGTCTCTATCGCCAACGGGACGCCTTTTTCCGAATGACGACGCTCCGACGCGACAGGCTCTTTGCGTGCGATAGTCTGCTCCCGGTCGCTCGGTACCGTGCGATCGGTACTGTCGCACGCGACCGTCGCAGGCTCGTCGCATGGCCCGTCGCGGCTTTGTGGCGACGCGCATTGTCGCAAGGCCGCTTGAGAGCACGGTTTCGACTTATCGTCCTCCTGCGACTGCTCGTGAACGAACATTACTCGCAGAGCTGAGCGAACTACGAGGACCCTTCGCCCAGTCGCACAGGTCATGCTCGCGAAACTAGGGTTACGACATGACAAGAATTTACCACTTGTGAAAGTGGCTTTCTCGTTGGATCGTTCTTAGCGTCCTAAATGAACCGTTACGCGGAATTAGAAAGGTCGAAGCTAATTTCCGCGTTATGCGGAATAGAGACAAGCTACATTGCTTTTCATAGCGGAGCTTACTTAGAGGCGCGTCTTAGCGTGACAAGAAATGACAGAGTCAAGCTACCAGGTTAAAACTCGAACTTTCTTCCTAAACGCGGCTCGAAATGTCAACAAATTAGAGTCAAGAATTTGAGAGGCCTCCCATGTCGTACGATAAAAATTGCGGCGAGCAGCAAAAGCACCAAGAAACAGGAGATTTTGCGGAGAGACGCCAGCGTTCAGCGGAAAGTTGCGAGTGAGAGCAGAGAGTGCAGCAGACGGTAGTTTGTGGGGTTTGCGTGGGCCAAGTCTCAAGAGGATTTGAAACACCAAAATCGATGTTCAAACGAACCCTAGAGACCTCCAAATATCGTATTGTCGAATGTGATTGTACGAAAATCATTTATATAAGATGACTACGTTTCTCTTTCGAAGTCTCACAGTAACAAGAAACAATAATCTTCATCGGATATCTTGTAGCGAGAATACCGATTATTGTGATGATGTTCGCGAACTCCATCGATTTCGGTGACCCTCGCCAATGCCCAGGCCCTGGCAAATCATTCCCAGGTCGTACCTGCCTTGCCTGACGTCGTGGCTTTTCCTTTGGTTTGGAGGAACTCTGTCGTGCCGACGAGTCGTCGTGCGCCGCCGAGAACCCACAAACCGACAACCAGCTCGGGCAACAGACTTCCCTTCCACCTCACGCCCCAACCAGCACGTTCGGCTCGGACAAGGGGGAGGGGGATAGCGGGCGGAACTTGCGTGGAATGGGGAACTGTTCATCGGCGCGCTGATTGGCACGTTCTTCACCTGCCTCCTCGCCGAAACGCTGAACCGGAAGCGCGTTTCTCTTTCGCCTCGTCGGCTGCCTGGCAGAAACAGGGAGGGAGGTTGTGTTGTGTTGTGCTCCGCTGTGCGTGGTTCAGCGAGCTGGGCCAGTGGATTGAATTCCAGCATTCGCTGACGTTGTTTCTCCAGCCATGTGTGGTGGGGGAAAGAGAGACAGCAAACGAGAGAAACTGGTGTTCTGAACCACCTCCGCTCGGCAACACGGCACACCAACCTTCCTTCCTCGTTTGTCCAGCTAACTGCATAGCTTCCCTCATTTCTTGCACCATATTCTCTAACCAGCCAATCGACTGTCGTCCCGCAGCAGTATTCCACTAGCAGTCTTATGACCTTCCCCTAGTCAGGTCCCAAACGGTCGCGCTGACTTCAGGCGGAATCTAATTTTGAGACGCCTCGAAAATTGACTTCAGGCGGAATAGGATAACTGTCGAAATCCGCGCCCCGACCCACTGAAAACGATCCTGCTCCGACGGACGGGGCTAGGTCCTGCAATATCATGCAGCAAGTTTTTCAAGCTATGATAGGGGCTACGTGAAGAGGGTTGCGGCTTCGCCCAGCAGAGCTTGGTCATTTCCATCCTCTATTAGAACCAGATTGGCAACCCTGATTCGACGCCGTCAATCTAAACCCGCGAATCGACGCGAGAGGGTTAGATTCGGCCCTCCCTCGGCACCTTTATCGGAAGAACCATTAATTTTGAGTTGGCACAGTAGTAGCCCTATCGCATATCACCTGTGAGTCGATCACGCGTCGCTTCTCCACAATTTGATACTCCTTCCGCCAATTCCCTGCGATGGTCGACTCTCGTCGTCGAGCCGCATTCGCCGCCATGGCCGCGTGCCTCCTTCTCCTTACCGCAAGCTCCGCGACATCCCGAGCCGCCGCGTTCCACTTGCCGCAAGATGCGCGCGCTGGCGACGCGTCCGCGCATTTTCCGCCGCAGTTTCCGCCGCAATTTCCGCGGCAGCACGACGCGCAGGATCGAATTAGCGGCGTTGGCCGAATCGGCAGCGCGCTCGAGTCCTCCTACGACCGCGACGCGGCCTTGGAGCTAGAATCCACCTACGAGGAAGACGATGACGTAGCGCGAACCGCCGGCATTGCCGCGACGCGTGGCGCGGGCCGTGATCCCGCGGCGCTCATCGCCACGTCAGCGGGCTTCGCGTACCCAATGGCGGCTCCCATCTACGTGGCCAAGTCGCAACGTGAGTCACAGCGTAGCGTCGCGCTGCTACGCTCAATCGCGCCTCTCTCAAACACGCCTCTTTCGTATGCCTTCAACCCTTACACCCCAAATCCACCCCCAAGTGCCTTTACTGACTCACCCTTCCCCCTCTTCCCTCTTCCTTCCTCATCTTCCGCCGCGCCCCCAGTGTCCGTGAGATGTCGCTTAAGGCCACATGGTCCAAGTACGCGGACCCATCCCCATCCCCTCCCCCTTCTTCCCCCCCGTTTCCCCACCTCTTCCGCCGCGCCCCCAGTGTCCGTGAGATGTCGCTCAAGGCCACATGGTCCAAGTACGCGGACCCCTCAACCCTCCACACTTGCCCTCTTCCCCCTCTTCCTCCTCCTCCCCCCCCCCCCCCCCCCTCCCCCCCTCCCCCCTCCCTCCAGTGCCCGTCATGATGTCGCTAAAGGCCACGTGGTCCAAGTGGGCAGACCTGAGCTCGTGGGACGGATCCAAGCCGTGTGATCAGTGGACGCGGATCAAGTGCTGGACAGATGGCACCATCAGGTCCGTTGATTCCGCGCCTGCAGATGAACGAACGCATCCCGTCCGTCCATTACCACTTAGGCGTTTGCCATCACGTCACATCACCACTTCGAATTGCCCCTTCGCACTACCGCTTCAGCTTGCTCCCTCAGTTGCGCCTTTTAGATCGCCCCTGTGTGTTTGAGCTTGCCTCTGTCTGTCTGTGTTCATCTGCGGTCACATGTAATTTACCCCATGCCCCATGCCCCATGCCCCACGCCCCATGCCCCACACCCCACGCCCCACGCCCCTCGCCCCACACCTCTCGCCCCACACCTCTCGCCCCACACCTCTCGCCCCACACCTCTCGCCCCACACCTCTCGCCCCACACCTCTCGCCCCACGCCCCTCGCCCCACGCCCCTCGCCCCTCGCCCCACACCCCTTGCTCGTCGCTGGGGACAGGCGCATGGAGATGAGCGGGATGGGCCTACGTGGCAGTCTGCCGGGGATCATTGGCGATCTCACCACGCTGGAAGAGCTGTCAGTATTGCTGCGCCCCTTGTCAAGTTGTCACCTCCCCTCCCTCCCTCCCTCCCTGCTCTCACTCTCATTCCCATTCTCACTCGCTATAGCCGTGTGCCCACGCGTCTCCCTCCTCACCAGGCCTCCTTGCGTGAGTCCTCTCCACCGCTGCCAAGTGCCGCGCCTCTTGCTCATCCCCCTGTCCTATCACCTTCTGCCCCTGCCTCTGCTTTTTGAGAATTCTAAAACTACAGGCTCACCAAGTGCCATGCCCCTTGCACATCATCCTATCACCTTCTGCCCATGCCTCCAACTCCAACCAGTTTCGCCTGTATCCCCGTTACTTGCAGCATCGCTAGCAGTTTCCTACTCACCTTACTATTCCCCGTGTGCTGCACGTGCATTGATTACTAGTGGTCCATATTGCCTCTTGACCCTCTTGGCCTGTATCCCCGTTACTGGCAGGCTCGTTACCAAGAACTGGTTCACCCACGAGTTCCCCAACCTCTCTAAGCTCGTTCGGTTGAAGAACCTGTGAGTGCACAGTGAAACAGTTATTGTTTTAGTGCATCATATATATGGATAATGCAGCAGTAAACAATGCAACAGTAGAGAAACAGCCGATAATGCAGCAGTAGTTGCCCAATTTTTACTTGTCATGTGTCCGCCCTATCTTGCTTGCTCATGCATGCACCACAACCCACCATGCCCCACTGCACCATGCCCCACCGCACCCCAACCACGGCCTACCTGTACATGTAACATGTGTTCTGGCTAGTGGGTGTGTGCTGGCTGGTGGGTGCGTGCTGGCTGGTGGGTGTGTGCTGGCTGGTGGGGGCGTGCAGGCAAGTATGGAGCAAAGCAACTACTTCAACCACACCATTCCACCCGGCCTTGTGATAAAAGAGCGTTTTGAGACGTCTCCAAACACCGTCTTGCTTGTGTGTGTGTGTGTGTGTGTGTGTGTGTGTGTGTGTGTGTGTGTGTGTGTGTGTGTGTGTGTGTGTGTGTGTGCGCGCTGGTGGGTGTGTGCTGGCTGGTGGGTGCGTGCAGGCAAGTGTGGAGCAACTACTTCAACCACACCATTCCGCCTGGCCTTGGCAACCTGCGCAGCCTCTACCAGCTGTACGTAACCCCTTCCCCCTTCCCCCTTCCGCCTCTACCAGCTGGCTGCATCCCAAGCGCCCCCAGCTGTGATCCCTCCTGTCTACCTCCTTCCCCTCACCTCACCGCATGTCCCCATGCAGGCATCTCAGCGTCAACTATTTCGAAGGTGGTATCCCAAGCAGCAGCACCCCCACCAGTGTTCCTTTCTCTCTACCTCCCCGTGATAAAAGTGTTGTTTTGAGACGTCTCAAAGCAGCAGCACCCCCACCAGTGTTCCTTTCTCTCTACCTCCCCACCTCGTGCCATATCCCCATATAGGCACCTAAACATTAACTATTTCAAGGGTGGTATCCCCAACACCTTCTCTCAACTCACCAACCTCTACCGCCTGTGAGTCACACTAGCCTCTAAGCCTGTCCGCCCGTTCTTCTTCCCTGGCTGGAAAATCAACGAGACCGCGCTAGCCTCTAAGCCTCCAAAAAAACAGACCCTTCCAGGTCTCGCTGATTTTCCCTGTTGCCCTCTGTTCGCCCTCATGCTTCTCCTCCCCTCATTTCTCTTCCCCTCCCCTCCTCCCTTCTTCCCTCTTCTTCACCTCTCCCATTCCTCTCCTCCCTTCTTCCCTCTTCACCTCTCCCTTTCCTCTCCTCCCTTCTTCCCTCTTCTTCACCTCTCCCATTCCTCTCCTCCCTTCTTCCCTCTTCTTCACCTCTCCCATTCCTCTCCTCCCTTCTTCCCTCTTCTTCACCTCTCCCATTCCTCACCTCCCCCATGCTTGCTTCTCTTCCGCCCATTCCTCTCCCCACCAGCTTTGTGTCGTCCAACCTGCTATCAGGCACCTTCCCCAGCGTCATCTGCACCATGACCACGCTCCGAGAGCTGTGAGTGCCGCTGGGGGTGCTGTCATTGCTGGGGGTGCTGAGAGTGCTGGGAGTGCTGTTGGGAGTGCTGTTGGGAGTGCTGTTGGGAGTGCTGTTGGGAGTGCTGTTGGGAGTGCTGTTGGGAGTGCTGTTGGGAGTGCTGTTGGGAGTGCTGTTGGGAGTGCTGTTGGGAGTGCTGTGAGCTGTGAGTGTGTTTTGAGCCATGTGTCATCCAACCTCTTACCAGGCACCTTCCCCAGCGTCATCTGCACCGTGACCACGCTCCGAGAGCTGTGAGTGTGGCGACTGCTGAGTGCTGAGAGTACTGAGTGAGGTTGTGTTCTAACAGGGTGCTGCTGTGAGTGCTCAGCGTGTTGATGTGAGCGCTGTGTTGATGTGAGTGCTGTGTTGATGTGAGCGCTGTGTTGATGTGAGCGCTGTGTTGATGTGAGCGCTGTGTTGATGTGAGCGCTGTGTTGATGTGAGCGCTGTGTTGATGTGAGCGCTGTGTTGATGTGAGCGCTGTGTTGATGTGAGCGCTGTGTTGATGTGAGCGCTGTGTTGATGTGAGCGCTGTGTTGATGTGAGCGCTGTGTTGATGTGAGCGCTGTGTTGATGTGAGCGCTGTGTTGATGTGCGCGCTGTGTTGATGTGAGCGCTGTGTTGATGTGCGCGCTGTGTTGATGTGCGCGCTGTGCTGCTGTGAGTGCTCAGCGTGTTGATGCTCAGCGAGTCTTGAAAGCTTCGTGTCATCCAACCTCCTATCAGCACCTTCCCCAGCGTCACATGCACCATGACCACGCTCAGACATTTTTAAGTGCTGCCAGTACTGCGAGTGACTGCTGTGGGAGATTATATGAAGGAAGGTGCCTTTTTGAAGCCGCATCGGCTTGTCACCCCTCTTCCCCCCTCCCATCCCCTCCCACCTGCCCACTCCTCCGTTTCCTGCCCCTCTCACCATCCCCACACACCCCCAACCCCTCACCTCTGCGCATCTCAGCCGCATCAGCGGAAACCACTTTGAGGGTTCCACTCCCCCCTGCGTGAGCCGACTCACTCTCCCTTGCATGTTGTTGACTACTTGTAATCCCGTTACACCCCCAATCCCCTCCATTTGCACCTCTCAGCCGCATCAGCGGAAACCACTTTGAGGGCTCCATTCCCCCCTGCGTGAGCCGACTCAAACTGCTCTACTACATGTGAGTGAGCCACTAAAGCCAATCCCACAGGTTGAGCTGCTTTGCTACATGTGATCCACTGCAGTCAATCAATTATTTTGAATTTAGCTACTCGACACGTAAGCTGGAAATCTGTTACTGTTGTTAGTGTTATTTATTATTATTATTGTTGTTGTTATTGTTATTATTGTTATTATTATCTTGTATGCTCAATCGTCACCCTCATTTCCGCCCCCCACTCATGCCCCCCCACCCCCATGCATGTGTCTCACCCACCCCAGGTATGTGGACACAAACCGGTTCACAGGAAGGCTGCCCAACTCCATTGGCACCATGACCAACCTGCAGAACCTGTGAGCCCACCGCTCTTCACTCCTCTCAACTCCTCTGCCTGCCCACTGCTTGCAAGCAACGCACCCCCCTTATCACTCCTCTTAGCCCCCTGCAACCCAACCCCCCCCCCTCCACCCTCTCACCTTCCTCGCGTCTTCCCTCTCCCCCTTCTCACCCCCCCCACTTCCCTCCACCGCAGGTTCATCAACCAGAACAGCATTGCCGGCCCTCTCCCCGCTCCTCCCCCTCTCACCCCACTCTCACCCCTCTCAACCCACTCTCACTCCTCTCCTCTATCCCTCCTTTGCAGGTTCATTAACCAGAACAGCATTGCCGGCCCTCTCCCCGCCACCATCACCCGCCTAAGAAAGCTGCGTATCCTGTACGTGTTCCCATGCTCCCATGCTCCCATGCTCCCGTGCTCCCATGCTCCCATGCTCCCATGCTCCCGTGCTCCCATGCTCCCATGCTCCCATGCTCCCTGCTCTCTTTCTCTTCTTTCATCTCGCCGCCCCCTCCTTCCTTGATCACACAGCGATCGGAGCACCAATCCAGAACCTCTATCCTCCCTGCGCCCCTCTTCCTGTCGTCGTCTTATCAACCCACAGCTTCATGAGCAGCAATCCCAAGCTCACAGGCAGGCTGCCGCGCAATCTGGGCAACATGGTTGGCCTTACGGACCTGTGAGTGCAGCGAGTGCTGGGAGTGCTGGGAGTGCTGGGAGTGCTTCTGAGACGTCTCAAAAGTCGGCGCTAGAGATGTCTCAAAAGGCTGCCGCGCAATCTGAGCAACATGGTTGGCCTCACATACCTGTCAGTGCTGCTGGGGGTGCTTTGGCTGCTGGGGGTGCTTTGGCTGCTGGGGGGTGCTGTGCTAGGGATGCTGGGGGGTGCTGGGGGTGCTGGGGTTGATGTCTGTGCTCGCCAGTCATACGCGTCTCCCCTCATTTCTCCCCACCGCTCAGCTCCCCTCCCCCGCCTCCCACCCACAATCCCCAAGAGCCGCTGCCTTCATCCACCATTCCATTGCACCATCCATCCCTCCCAAGCCCTCCTGCCTCTGTTCCTCACGCCCGTTCTCCAACCCCTGTCCGCCTCTGTCCACCCCCCCTCCTCCCCTCTCCGCCCCTCTCCACACCTGACCTTCAGGGTCATGGAGTTTTGCAACTTCAGCGGTCCCATCCCACCCCTGCCCACCCCTTCTCACTTCTGTCCGCCCTTGCCCACCCCTTCCCATCCCTGCCCCTCTCCGCCCCTCTCCTCACCTGACCTTCAGGGTCATGAATTTTTGCAACTTCAGCGATCCCATCCCGCCATCCATGCTCCTTCCCAGACTCTCCCCCTAATCTTCACTCCCATCGTTCCCTCTCCCTCCTGTCCCCCACCCCCTCTTCCCCGAGCATGCCCACCAGGGTGATGGAGTTTTGCAACTTCAGCGGCCCCATCCCACCATCCATCACCCGCCTCACGCGCTTGCAGCGACTGTGATGCCCCCCTCTCCCCGCCCTCAACAACCCTCCCCCCTCCCTTACCCTTCAAGCATGCTCCACCCCTACCACCTCCCACAGTTGCATAGCCAAGATAGGGTCTGTAAATGCAATTCCAATCGTCCAGAATATACCTGTTCTTTTACACCTGTACATTGTATGTCGGTCGGTGGTGCCTCAAGTGACTTTTGGGTAATCCATGCTCTTCCCATGTTTGTATGATTAGCCTATTCTTTTCTCCATTTTTTTTTTTTTTTTTCCCAACCTCACCTCAAGCTGTGCTTCCCTCCCCACCCCTCCCTTCTCCCACCCCTCCTGTTCCTCCCAGCTTGCTAGACAACAACTATTTCCGTAGCATAGTGCCGGACAATCTCAGCAGGCTTCTAAGACCCCTCAAAAATTATTCCTGCCCCCTTCCTTCCCCCCTCGCCAGCTTGCTAGACAACAACTATTTCCGTGGCATAGTGCCGGAGAATCTCAGCAGACTCACAGACATTACCATCCTGTAAGAGAGAGACAGACTCAACTAGTGCGAATTTTCACTAAAATCCTATTCAAGGTGACTTTTGAGTCGACTCAAAAGACTCACAGACATTACCATCCTGTAAGAGAGGGACAGACTCAACATAGTGCAGATTTCACTAAAAATCATATGCAGACATGACACAGACTCGGTCTGCTTAATCGACTCAAAAATACTTTCATATTTTACGAGACACAGACAGCTGGTGTCAATGTGAAAAAGACACATCGTCACACATCGCAAATCCCCAGCCGCATTCGTACCCTTTCTCTTTCCCCCTGATGTCTGGACATCCTACTCTCCTCTCCCCACCCCTCCCTCCCCCTGTTCCCCCTCTTCCCCCTCTTCACAGGTACCTCGAGCGCAACTTCCTCTATGGCACGTTCCCCAAGGGCATATCACAGCTGCCCAAGCTCGCCTACCTGTGAGTGCAATCCCACCTGCAGCCTCCTTGTTAGCCGGTTGTTCCAGAATATGCTTGCTGCAGTTGCTGCAGTGGAGTTTGGGGCATATCACAGCTGCCCAAGCTCGCCTATCTGTGAGTGCAATCCCACCTGCATTGAGTGCCGTGGGCACTTGGTGCAGATTCTGCTTGTTGTGGGAACAAAACACTCTCTCACATCCCCACACACCCCCACCCACACGCTCCACTCTCCCTCCTCCCCCTGCCCCCACCCACCCGCTCCACTTCCCTTCGCTCCCACTCACAATCACACTGTGTCCCCTTCACCCACACCCCTCCCCCCTCTTTCCCCCCCCACAGCAACCTGCACAGCAACCTGTTGACAGGCCCTCTCCCCACCAACTTCCCCAGCACTCGTTTCATTGATTACGGCCAGTACAACCTGCGTAACAATTTCTTCAATGGCCCGGCAGTGGTAACCGCAGGGGGGCGGTCCTTCTGCCCCGTCAACCACACCTACACAGGAGTGTTCTTTGAGTCTTCACTCGCCAAGAACTGCCTCACTTATCCTGCTGGAAGCCCCTGTGAGAAGGCTGGGCTTGTGCAGGTGCAAGTGCCTACACATGTGTGTAAGCGGTTTTGTAACGCGGATACGAACACGTGCGGTGGGAAGGGGTACTGCTGGTTTGGTGGCGGCCGGAACCCGTCTTGTGATTGCTTTAGGGGATATAAGCCCACTGCCGATAAGCAGTTGTGCGTGAAAGCTTGACAAAGTGAGGTGTGCTGTGGGTTCTACATAGTGAAATGACATGTACATTTATTCTAATGAGTATATATGTTACCTCTTTTTGATTACTAATATATATTGCTCTATACATCTTGACAGCGTGGCGATGTTCGGCTGCCACAGGGGGTGGGAGGGAGGGGATGGGATGGAGCATCAAAACGCCGAGGCTCCTGGTTCGACCTGTTCGAACCAGGCAAAACACTTCGGTCAGACAGCAAAATTATGAAAAAAGTGTCGGACGTGAGCCTAAAACGCGACGCGAACCCCGCGCTAGGCTTGAACCCGCGTCGCGTCCTCCCCCAGGTTCCCCCCCCATGGCGGAAAACTCCGCCCTAGTGTTCAGGGCATGGGAAGAGCATTCCCGTGGGTGGTCTCAGAACACGGGGGATGAAAAATGCATGCCCCGTACTACTAGTTTTGTTTATGAATTTACCCAACACTCTAAAAAACAAATAACTCGAACATCGAAAATATAATGCGAAACACACAATTTTAAAATGCTACTGCTTTATCTGATTAAGGTAGAAATGTCAACTACACCCTAAATTGATTTACTGTGTACAGAGTTTTGGGCCAGTGAACTACCCAAACAAAGCGCAACAGTAATTTCGAGAAAACTGTTCAGCTCGCGAAGTTTCGTTTCGCGCGGCTGCAGTTTCGTGGGCCCTCGTTTCCCGAATCGCTCGTCTGCGCCTTCTCCCCCACACGTTCCGCTTGCGCCTGGACCCCAAACTTAAAGTCAACGCTGGTTGACTCCGAGTTGACCACACCAAACTAGAAACCCTAGCTGAGATTTTGATCCCTCCCCCCATCCCTCGGTCGATCCCCTGTGGCAGCCGAACATCGCCCATCACATCCACTTCTGTGCAGCATGCCACATGAAGTGCAACGGGTACATTGCAGCTGCTTTTACTGGGTGATACTGCAATTCCAGCTGTATGCGTGCATCACAATTAAAGAGAGTCGTGGTTATATGGACAGCAACAAGATAGAAATCAAAGTCTCGTCTCTATGTCTACAGCGAGTATGATGTGTCCTGCATCACAAGTCAAGAGCTCAAGATACCGGTCCCGTGAAACACTTTTCCATTCTTACCATCACAACCACCGCCCACACCAATATTCACAAACACTCTCCCTCCTGTCTCACCTTCCATCAATCAACAAGAACTGTACCTTCCCAGCACCTTCCACGGTCCACCATCCCACTCACCTCTACACTGCACCACCCACACCACCACCCCCCTTCACCTGCCACTAGCCCTCCCCCTCCATTCATCACCTCATCTATCATCGCTACAACGCCACCAACTTCCCCCCTCCCTCCGTACCAAACATTCTCCTTCCCCTCCCCCTCCGTACCAAACATTCTCCTTCCCCTCCCCCTCCGTACCAAACATTCTCCTTCCCCTCCCCCTCCGTACCAAACATTCTCCTTCCCCTCCCCCTCCGTACCAAACATTCTCCTTCCCCCCTCCCTCCGTACCAAACATTCTCCTTCCCCTCCCCCTCCGCCATTCATCACCTCATCTATCACTGCATTCAAATCAACCGGCTTGCCCATCTCCATAAGCTTCTAAACCACCATGACCCACCACTAAGGCTTTTCCTCCTCTCACCGCCCATACCAACCCCCTCCTCCTCCCCCTCCTCCCCCGCCCCCGCCCCCGCCATTCATCACCTCATCGATCACAGCATTCAGATCAACTGACTTGCCTCTCTCCATAAGCCTCTCTGCACCACCAGGAGCCACCATCGCCTTTCCTCCCTCTCTCACCGCCCGTACCACCCCCCTCCCCCTCCTCCTCCTCCCCCTCCTCCATTCATCACCTCATCTATCACAGCATTCAGATCAACCGACTTGCCTCTCTCCATAAGCCTCTGCACCACCATGCGCACCTTATCCCTTGGGAATCCCATAGCTGCCACGTCATCAACCACCTTCTCTAAAGGCACTCTCGCTGTATCACCCCCACCTCCCCCACTTCCCCCTCCTCCACCTCCTCCCCCTCCGCTCCCCCCTCTCCCTCCCCCACCACCGCCGCTCACAGGTTGTGCCATGGGTAAGCGTCTGTATCCACTAGGGGGGCCGGCAGTAGGGGGGATGGACGGAGGGGGAGGTTGGGCAACCCGATACATACCCTGGGGCTGGGGGGAGGGGTGCGCAGGGGGAGGGGGGGCGGGGGCGCCATAACCAGGCGGAGGAGGGGGGTAGGACGGGGATGGCCCTTGCCCATGCATGTACTGCTGCTGGGGGGGTTGCGGTGCCTGCATGGGTACACCTGGTGGAGGTGGCATCTGAGAGTGCATCTGAGGGGGCCCCTGAGGAGGCATCTGAGGCGGGGGCATCTGTCCCTGGGGCATGGGAGGGGGCGGTGCGTTCTGCTGGTAGTACATGCCTCCTGCAGCAGCTCCAGCAGCAGCAGTGGCAGCAGCGGCAGCAGCACTGGCAGCAGCAGGGTCGTACATGCCTTGAGGGGGGGGCATGGAGCCGTATGGGGGGGGAGCAGGGGCGGAGGCAGCAGGGGGAGGAGCGGGCTGCTGCTGGGGGGGGTAAGGCGGAGGGGGTTGCTGTGCCATGGGCGGTGGCGGTGGTGCTTGGTACATCTGCTGCCCGCCCTGCTGCTGCTGCTGCTGCTGCTGCTGCTGCTGCTGCTGCTGCTGCTGCTGCTGCTGCTGCTGCTGCTGCTGCTGCTGCTGCTGCGGTGGCTGCGGCTGTTGCGGCGGCGGCGGCGGCGGCTGTTGCTGCTGCTGCAGCTGCTGCTGCTGTGGCGGCTGCTGTTGCTGCTGAGGCTGCATATTATATTGGCCTTGCTGCTGCTGCAAATACTGAGGAGCAGAAGCAGACGGGGGAGGAGGAGCATAGGACTGCTGTTGCGGCGGCTGCTGTTGCTGCTGTTGGGGGTACATGGGAGCCGGGGGAGGCATAATTTGCTGCTGCTGCTGCTGCTGCGGCGGCGGCGGCAGCTGCTGCTGTGGTGGCGCGGGTGCCTGGTACTGAGCAGGAGGAGCCGGCACAGGGGCAGGAGGCGCGGGGGAGGGACTGGGGGACGGAGGAGGGGGAGCGGAGGCTTCAGGAGGCGCAGAGGGAACAGGGGCGGGGGGTGCAGACGCAGCAGCAGGCACCGGCACTGGCGCTGCTGCTGGTGCTGCTGGTTCGACCACTGCGGGTGGGGCAGCAGCAGCGGCAGTGGCAGCAGAGGCGGAGGCGGAGGAGGAGGCGGATGGGGGGGCGGGGAGGGCGAGGAACTTGAGCTTGGAGAGCTCCGCCTGTGCCTCTGCGAGCTCCTGCTTGTCGCGCATCACCTGCAGATTGCGCTGCACCTGGTGGGTTGACATGCAAGGGAGGGGGGGCGTACGGGGGAGAACAGGCAGGATTGGGGTGCAGGCAGGGGAAAAAGGAGGGGGAGAGCTCCGCCTGCGCCTCTGCGAGCTCCTTCTTGTCCCTCATCACCTGCAGATTGCGCTGCACCTGGTGAGGGGGCAGGCAGGGAGGCGGTGGGCAGGGGGGAAACAGGAAATGAGGGAGAGTTTGGCCTGCGCCTCTGCTAGCTCCTTCTTGTCCCGCATGTCTTGCAGGTTGCGCTGCACCTGGTGGGGGAGCAGGCAGGGAGGCGGTGGGCAGGGGGGAAACAGGAAAAGAGGGAAAGGTGAGGGAGAGTTTGGCCTGCGCCTCTGCTAGCTCCTAGTTGTCCTGCATCACCTGCAGATTGCGCTGCACCTGGTGGGGGGCACGCGGGGAAGGGGGAAGAGGAGTTGGTGGGGAGAGGGTCAGGCAGGGTGGAAAGTGCCGCCTGAGCCTCTGCGAGCTCCTTCTTGTCCCGCATGTCTTGCAGGTTGCGCTGCACCTGGTGGGGGGCACGCGGGGAGGGGGCAGGGTGGTGCATGCTACTTTTTTCTGGTGGGTGGCCATGCGGTGCTTGTCGCACATCACCTGCAGACTGCGATTATAATTCTCCCCACATAAAAACCGCGAGACAGGAACCAACTTTTGAGGCGCCTCAAAAGTCGGTGGGTGGCCATGCGGTGCTTGTCCTATATCACCTGCAGACTGCGCAGCGCAGCACCTAATCCTCGCTCGCATCGCTCTGAACTGCAGCTACTTTTCTCGAAGTTTCCCATGCTCTGCAGCTACAATCACTCACCTCTAGCAGCACGTTCTCCACAGATCGCAGCCGCGAGTCCAGCTCAGCGTGCCTCTCGCCCTCATCCCCCGCAGCGCGGTCCACCGCGCCCTGCAGAGCCGCCACCCGCTGCTGTCCAACGTTTCTGATTACAACTACTCACCTCTAGAAGCACGTTCTCCACGGATCGCAGCCTCCCATCCAGCTCAGCGTGCCTCTCCCCGTCATCCCCAGCAGCGCGGTCCACGGCGCCTTGAAGAGCCGCAACCGCCGCCTCCACGCGCCGCACCCTGCTGCTTGCATCGCCCAACGCGGCAGACACGCCCTCAGAGAAGCGGTGCAGCAGGCGCTCCATGGCGGACGTCACCTCCGCTGCCACCTGCGCCACGTCCCCTGCTGTCGCTGGCGCGCGCGCTGCTGCTGCTGCGCGCATCCCCGCGCCCCCCGCGCCTCCCGCTCCCCCTGCTCCCCCCCCCATGCTGGCCCCTCCCCCCAGGTTAGCACCCCCCATTCCGCCGCCGCCCATGCCCCCGTCTCCAGTGGAAAAGGATGGATGAGGAGGGGAGGGATGCTGAGGTTGGGAGTGGGTAGGGCCCTGGTTGGAGGGAGAAAGCGGGAGGCGGAGAGGAAAGCGGGGAGCGGGTGAGAAAAAGGGAATGCGGAAAGCGGGTGAGATAGCCTCTGGTTGCTAGGGGAAATAGGGGAGCGGATGTGGGTCAAGTGATAAGAAGGGATGGAGAGAGGGGCACCACTCGGAGGGACAGAGACGGAAGATGAGAGGCGCAACGGATGGACCTTAGTTAAGGACTGTTTGGTTCTTGACTATTCTCGCAAACCAACTAGGAGCACCATGCGGAAGGACAGAGGCGGAAGATAAGAGGGCTCAACAAGGCCGTGCATAAGGAAGAGAAGAAACGCGCGCTCGATAAGGAAGTACTCTCCGTGCGCTACGGCCGCTGAGCAGCTAAGGCCCTTGACGGTGCGGAATTCGAGAAGCAGACAGAGTAATTTCAACCGAGAGGTCAAAACGGCACGAATCTAGGACGCTCAGAAAGAGGCCAAAAAGAATAAGAGAGTGAGGGAGCGATCAGAAATAAGCGTAGACACACCTGGGAGCTGAGGAAATTGAAGGACGAGCCACCAGCACCAGCACCACCACCACCAGCCAGTTCAGACAAGCCTGAACCAAGACCGCCACTAGTCCCACCACCGCCGGTGTTGTTCCCATGCTTTCCAGATTCGGGAAACGAGCTTGTCATGCCACCGCGAGACGCGGAGCCTGCGAAAGCCGACTCGGCGGGAGGACTGAGGGAGCGGACGAACGGCGACGCGGGGTCGTTGGACGGCGGGGATCCGCTGGTGAGCGCGGACGACGCGGTGGCGGCATGCGCGGGCTTAGAGGCGGCGGAGGATGGCTGGAGCAGATCGAAGAAGGGGTCCGAGACGGACGCTTGCGCAGCACGCTGCGAATGACTGGAATCCATGGTAACTCGCGACGTCTGCTTGCTATGCGCTATTCACCTTGCGAAAGAGAATCAGTGCACCATGGATATATGCCCGCTATCACGGTATCTAGAGGAGGTTCCTGCCACCCGTGCGCTAACTCCTAAGCTGGATTAGGAAACTAGGCACTAGGATGAAACCGCTGAAATGAACTGGAGAAACCGATGGGTGAAGGAATAGCAGTTTGGCTGTGCTAGTTTGGCCTAACTGTGTCGGGCACCGATTCTGTCACACCCGTTCAGATAGTTTCCAGGCGCGACGGCGGATACCAGGAATCGCCTGTTCGCGAGCCAGTGGCGATGGAGAGACGGTTGCGTGGAGCTTGTGTGCTCCCGATGCCTGACGCTTCGGTAAGATCGGTGGTGATTGACCTCGATAATTTCAGTAAGAGCATCGCCTTTTATAATTTCAACAAAAATATTAAATGCTATTTACCAACCAGTAATCTATCTCAATCATTCATCTTACTTCACAAACTTCAAAATGTGTCAGCTTGCAGGCAGAAACTTGACTAGTCCCACAATTATTGTTGACAGATATGCTGCAGCACACTTATCGGCTGCAATGCAAACAGCCAGAAAACATCCTCTAGACATAAAAAATGGGAGAAGCCATCATGCAAGGCAGAGAAGCGGGGCACTGTGCACACAGATGCCCAGTAGCCTTCAAAACGTGATCACCTTCTGGGTTGAATGAAACGGATATGGTTGAGCTCCTTCCCAAGCTCATCGGCAAATCGAAGGCGCTTGCGCGGCTGAGAGGTAGAACAGGAAACGGGGGGCGAGGAGTGTAGAGAGGAATTAAAGAAATACAAGGAAAACAACCCCATTATGGATGAGATGCCTCGACAAAATGGACATGGTGAATACAAACTCGAGGGTACGAAAGCGACGGTCTGAATGTCTCTACCATCGGCGTGAGAGAGAAAAGGAAAAACATCCAGCATACCTTGGTTATGTCCAAAACTGCATGGCGCAGCTGCTCCATTTGGTGCAGGACATCGTTAGCCAATGAGGTCGGCACAGGAGACACTCCGTGACCATGTGAAGCATCATCGCGATTCTCACCCTGCATGAGCACCACACAGACGAGGGTTCCAGCAGATGGGTACACTCACGCATGGCACACAAAACTACAGAAAAAAAACACGAAGAGACGGTTGCATGTCCTTGCATACCGCTCCCCAATGTGATTCCCGCAATCCCTCTACCCTCTGCCCCCAACTTCCCAGACCCACATCCCCTCCCATCTATCATGCCTCCTCACCTTGCATCGCTCCACGAGCATTCTCACTGCTGCCTCTGCCACCGCCATCTGCCTCTCCACTCGCTCCCGTGCTGTCGGCCGCACCCCCCTCGCCTCCGCGCACGCCCCTGCTCCCACCACTTCTCCCTGCCCCTCCTTCCGCCCACCACACGCACTGCCACTCTCGCTCCCTTCCCTCTGCCGCTTCCGGCCCACGGTTCCCATGGCATTGCCACTCGTGACCTTGCAAGAGGAGGTTGCGTTACTGCAGCGTTCCACAAACGAGGGCTTGAGGATGCTCTTAGGAGGAGGCGGGAACGGAGCAGTGGGGATGGTGGGGGGAGTGAGCATTTGCTCTAGGGACTCAGTGGGGGGCGGGGAAGAGGAGATGAGCGGATAGTGGAGAGGAGAGGTGGGTGAGGAAGGAGCGGGAGGGGAGGAATTCTCCATGGACAGGGAAAGGACACGTGGCGGGCTGTCACTGGCCGCAGGAAGAGACGTGCAGGTTCGCACGTGCCCGTGGCAGTCCTGGTGCTCATCCACGTCATTGACTGCCAAGTCACCGTTATCTGCCACGTCATCAACCACCTCCACGATCTCCGAATCGTCCACTGCTTCAACGATCTGAAAAATCTCCTCATTGTCATACCTCACCTTGCACGGCAACATGACCTGACCAACCTTCAGAACAATCGAATACCCATCCTCCATTTGCTCTTCTTCCTCCTCCAAATCCTCTTCCTCCTCACCCTCATTTCCACTCTCCTCCCCATCTCCCTCCTCCTCCTCCCCTTCATCCTCATCCTCATCCTCACTCTCATCCTCGTCCTCATCACTGTCGCTTTCTTCTTGCTCCTTGCCTTCGGCTTTCTCTCCTACCTCCTCTTCCTCCACCTCCACCTCCTCTTCCTCAATCTCCAATTCTATTTCCTCTTCAAACTCTTCCAATCCCTCCTCTTCCCCTCCCTTGTCCTCTTCGCCCTTCTCTCCCCCTTTCACGTCAGACAAGTCATCCCCTTGTCCAGCAGACTCTGCGATCGACGAATCGAACGTAATTCCATCAAGGCCGCTCGACATAAGCTCATTCATATCAGAAAACTGCGATTCAGGCTCCAAGGACTCGGTCCACGAGTCCCTCACGCCGTCCTCTTTCACTTCGTCCAATCCCGTGTATTTAATCTTGCCCGTCGCGAAGAGCTGGCGAACCATCTTCGCAGGCACGTCAATAGGTTTGCGACGAAGCACTGGCGAACATCGCGGGTGCTCGTGGTTGTGTCCGTTCCCATCCAGCTCAGCTGCCACGTCAGCATCCGCCGTCATTCTCGCAGCCACGTCACACGCGGCCAGCTCGGAGTTTACCCGCGAAGGACACGCGTCGTTAATAGCCGCAGTCTGCAGACCAAGGTAGGTCCAAAATAGAAAAACAGCCGAGTTCAAATGAAGGAACCAAGAACCACTAGGAGCCAGGAATGCACAGTCTGTCGAGATGCAGTGAGAAACACAGCAATAGCCGGAAAGCATACGATGGACCGATTTGAGCGGAGGCAGGAGCAAAGAACAGCGAACAAAACTGTGCAGAATCTCGAGCGTACCCCGGCTGTTCGTACTTCTTCAGAGGCTTCGGCGACCATGCTCGAGGAAACGGCAGCATCGGCAGCACCGGCAGCAGACGGTAGGAGTCTACTAGAACCTGAACCAACACCGCTCGCAGCAGCTGATTGGAGCCTGTCAGAACCGCGCCCGCTGCTCACGGCTACCGCAGTTGCCGGCTTTTCGGACGCATTAGCCTTAACTCCTGCCTTGCGAGGTTCCTGTGAGACGTTTGCCGATCCTCCCGTCGCTCTGAACGCCGCCATTGCTGCTGGAGCGACGGCGACAGCGAGAGCGCCGTCAGCCGAGACGGAAGATTCGGTAATGCGAGAAGCAGACGGAGAGTGCTTATGTCGAACGGACTTCGTTTTGACGACGCCGCTGACTAAACAGTTCCCCTTGGAGCGTCTCGAAGATTCCGGCGGAGATGCGACGAAAGTCTTCCGTATCACGTTAACTCCGGTTTGAGAAAGGCACGACCGAAGCTCCTCCGCTTGACTTCTCTTACGTTGGCCGAGGCTAGCGCGCCACCCCCTCGTTCGCGCGCAGGTGCGCTTAAGAATGGACGCTAGAAATAAACCCGCCAGTTTCCGAGCACCAGGGGATAATAGACAGACTGCTCTTAGAGCGCGGATATAATGCCGTATTTAGGTTATTACTGGCAAGAATTTTATTATTGACTTTAACCGTGCTGCTGTTGGTTAATTGGCCTGAGATAGAACAGCGCTTCAGCACGAAATTAGCTTCAGCCGAATTAGCAGCAAGATGGCTGTGAGAACAAGAAAGCCCCAGCAAGGAGTTTAAAGAAGCTGCGGGGCTTCTGTGAGCCTCCTGAGTCTCGCTTCCCATATGTCCAAACAACCCTAGCTGAAAGAATTAATGGCTGAAACTGCGAACGTCAGGTCAGGTCCGCCATTCAAGAAGAGAGCTAACCAGCGGAGTGATGCCATGCGGGGAGTGGCATGGCGGCAGGTGAGCTACCTTGAAGCGGACGCTTCCCGCAACCCGTTTCTTGCGGGGAAGGGGAATGGCGGATTGCTTGGAAGGTAGAGAGAGCAAGCGGAGGAGAATCGGGCGAAACGTTCCAGGCAGCGCGGTTGGCGAAGGCACGGTGAGGCAAGGTACGGAAATCCCCGTAGCTCCGAACTGTTCACGACGACCATGAGCAGTGCATGGCGTGTCACAAGATGTTCCGAGTTTTGAATCGGTTAACTGAGGTCTTAAACGATTTCTCTGGGTTTCAGGCGAACACGATCACTCACATGTCACCCCTGCTGTCAGTCACCACTGCTGTGGCAAATGCCAAAGCTGCTGCTGGTTGCGTGGTGTTCAGCATAGCGTCTCCCATAGGTCAGCGAATTCTAGCGCAGAACTCCTGGCAACTCCAGCAAGAGTGCGTTTGCTCCCTGATAATGTAACTCGAGCGACATCTGCGACGTTTGCGACATCCGCTTTGCTGTTTCACTCTGGGGCCTCCAGTGGGTCCTCACTTTCGCCGAACAGGCTGGAGAAACGACTATGCTGCCATGCCACCAACCAACCGGCGAGAAAGTGACTTCACTTTCATCCACTAGACTCGATGACTCGATGACACTTGCGACCAGCAAGGCATCAAGGCAGCCAATCGTAACACTCCATTCGCCGCAGCAACATCCATTTCCTCCCTCCCTCCCCGCTAAGGTTGACCATCCATCCACCCGCCACGGAATAAAATCTGCGCGTAAGCACCGCACGGAATCCCCCACCCACGCCTGCTTTGATTCGACATGCCATGGCGCACCCATGTCTTGGAATGACGCGCAGGTGCGTCCGTTCCGCCTGACGCTAAGCTTTCTGTGTGGCTGGCATTTGGGTGCTCAAAAGGGCGACAGGAAGAAACACCACGCCCCAATGGGAGGCTTTCGCGCCAAGCTGAAGCATTTGAAATTTCGATTTCTTGAATGCGGAAATCGAGAATTGGATGTAAAAGCTGATTCACATAACTCCGTCAATTTTTCTACGTTGACATTCACGGATGTACTCAGCACCCAGCATTCTGAAACCTCAAGCATTCCGCTTGTATCGAACATAAGGCCTTTGCTGAACATCCTCGCCACATCAGCCTTGACCCAGCTTTCGGTACACGTGGCCTGAGAGGGTCTAATAGCGAGCCACGTCGACTCCCCTTCCCCACAAACACCTTCGGCATTCTCCAGGCCAGTTTCACGCACAAATCTTCAGGTTCTCCCACCTGTGCAAATGCAGTGTACTGTAGTATCAATCTACTACCTGGCCCTAGGCGTTTCCGAGTGAACTTCCTGCATTGTACAGATTCCTAAAATTTGTTCAGTGATTCCGTGTCAGTGAAGTTCCTCTGACGACCTTAGCCTGACACGGAAAACTAGGTCTGATCTGCTGGGCTTTTGCAACAATGATCGGGCTCGTCTCTCCCGCTCGTTTGCAGATTGCACCAGTGGCTAGTCAGGGATGCAGGAGCAAACGCATTTCTCGATGGAATTCCGACAGCTTCTCTAGATTCGTTGCCAGACCACCTGCCGTTGTTGAGCGTTCGGCTTTCAAATGTCGTCAGCTGGCAGTGCGATCAGGGCCGAACGATGAGGTAAGAGCATGAACAAGCACAGGAAAACCCAGTCGGAGAGTATGAGGTATGAGGAGACGACATTAAATAGTTGGAAATAGTCTAAATGAGAAGGATGTAACAGCAAGCAGAAAAATGGGTACCGTGACAAATTCATCAGCACAAATGAGCATGCCTGTTAATGACTTCAATGTCTACCAAATAACAAGTGCATGGATCGATCCCAGCCCCACCCGTTGATGTCATCGATCCCAGCCCCACCCGTTGATGTCATCGATCCCAGCCCCACCCGTTGCGAGTGACATTGACATCCCTTCTGCTGTTTCCGTCGTTTCAGGCGTCAGTCACGCCAGAAAAAACGGAGCAGCAGCAACAGACGGATGTGGAGAAGGAAGAGCTGGCAGCGAGGCTAGCGGCGGCGGAGGCGGAGGCAGCGGCGCTGCGGCTGGAGTTGGAGCAGCGGCGGCTGGAGAAGGCGGACAATCTGATCCGCATGAAGCCCAACAGCGACGTGTACATCGACGGCACCGGCGCGCGCGAAACCATCTTCCAAGGACCCGTCGTCACCGGTACTTGCCTTCTCCAGTCACAAGCCCCACTCCCTTCCACCATTTCCCCGCTTCTCCTCTCCCCCTTATCACCCAAACCATTTCCTCGTCACCTGAGTTCTATTTTCGCATCGTTCCTCCATGCTCCCCGTCTCGCGTCCGTCTCGTTCCCGGGAAACTCCCCGTCGCCTGACGCCGTCTCGCCCTTCTCTTTATGCTTGTCGTTATGCGCGGCGCTCGTCCCGCAGGTGGCAAGAAGGGAGCAGCGCGGTCGTGGGGATTCACGGAGACGGAGCTACTGAGCGCGCAGGCCGGCGGCGAGGGGGACGGCGAGCTGGACGGCAAGGAGAGAGACGGCATCGTGACGCGGCGGCTGCTCATTGGTGCCGGCCTCGCTGTGCTCGCACTTCCTGTCGCTCTGGTATGGCACAATTCATCGCGCCCCTTGTACTCACTTCACTCACACGATCTATCGTCCCTCCCATCCAAATTCTTTCCTGTACGTTTCTCTTTCTGCACCTGCCCCTGACTCCCCCTCTTCCGAGTGCCACATTCCGGCCATCGTTCCTTTCAGATGCTCCCTGAATTTACTTTCAACTCTTCTCCTATCTCTGGTCCTCCCACTCCCACCCCCACCCCCACTCCCACCCCCACCCCCACTCCCATCCCCACCCCCACTCCCATCCCCACCCCCACTCCCACCCCCACCCCCACCCCCACCCCCACCCCCACTACAATCCCCATCCCCACCCCCACTCCCATCCCCACCCCCACTCCCACCCCCACCCCCACCCCCACCCCCACCCCCACTACAATCCCCATCCCCACCCCCACTCCCATCCCCACTCCCATCCCCACCCCCACCCCCACCCTCATCCCCACTCCCATCCCCACTCCCACCCCCATTCCCAACCTGGCCAGTACGACATTCCGCTCACAGTGGCCCCTCCCACCAAGCCTCTCTTCTTCTACGTCGTGCCACTTGTCCGCCTGCAATTGGCTCTCCAGGCCATCGTTTCACAAGCAGACTCGCTTGGTCAGTACTTGCTACCAGTGCGGAGGTGGGAGCTTGCTGTGCAGTGGGGGGTGCTTGTTGCGTTGTGGGGAGGGGAGTGGGGGCCGCTTGTTACATTGGAAGGGGAGCGCTTGTTGCTGTCCTCATCCTTGAGCCTCCTTCTCAGCCATCTTATGCAGCGTTGGGACTCATTGCCCATGCAACAATTTGTGTCAATCTCCTCGTGTGTGTGTCTCCCTGCTTGTGTCTCTCTCTCCTCATTGGTGCATCTGTACCAGATGTTGTGGCTCTGCGATCACAGCTGCGCTTTGCAGTGGGCACTGTTGACACCGTCAGAGAAAACCTTGTCAGGTACACATCTGTTGAGTAGACCCAGTCAACCCATTTTCCCCACCTCCCCCACTTCCCCCCTCCTTGTAGACTTCTCAGAGTTCGTTGTCTCTCATTGTCATCAGTGACCCCTCCCCCACCTCCCCCCTCCTTCCTTGCCTCATTTCCTGCTCCCACCCTGTCAGTTGTTGGGGATTTTATTCCCTAAGTGCAGATTCGTACACGTTTCTCCAAAACCCCTCACCTCCTTGGCATTTCTTTCCATGCCAAATTTTGCCGCCGCATCCATGAATCCAACCATCCTCTTTGTGTGGTTTCCCATCCATCGTCTTTGCATTCTTTCCCATCCATCCCCTCTGCGATTTTGCTCATCCATCTACAGCACCACTGTCCTGCTAGAGGACAAGTCACAGCAGCCAGCAAAGGAGCTTGCATTCGAGATTATAGACTATCTGCAACAGGTGTGTGTTCAGCCTCTCACTCACACCTCCCCACTACCTTACTGCAATGCAAACTTGCTCTTCCCAGGCAACTATTACCCTTTGTACACTCGAATTCCCTCCTGCTCTGACCTGTCTTGCCTGTGTCCTATGTTCACATGCCTGCTGCTGAGTGAATGCAGGCGGATTACGGTAATTATTTCGAGAACATGGGTGCTCCAAGCCCATCACAGCAGTAAGCCGAGCCTCCTTATCTAATGTTCCTCAACACACAGGAGTTCAGGGTTTGGTGTTCATTCTCCAACTATGCTCCCATCTCACTGCCGCTCACCTTCATTTGTGTGTGCAGGTTGGAGTTCCTCTCATTCAGCCTCAAATCTATCAAGGTGTGTATCCCATACCCTCCCTGCTGACCTCGTTATGGTTTAGTAGAAATGTTGCTTCATCGGTCTGCTCATACTCATGCTTCCTACCTGCGTTTTTCATCATGCAGGCTGCAATTTCAAGATTGGACAAGTTCTTTCGATATGTCCCATCAGAGGTTGTGGAAGCAGCAAATCAGCAAGTCAATCCAACTCTTAATGTTCCTGAAGTCACAGGACCTGACGCCTCCACAGACGTTTCCACAGCTACTGCAACACAGATGGATGAGGCTTAGCAGGCAGAAGAGCATGACATGTTAAGCTTATTGAAGAGGCGTAAAGGGTGCTCTTGAATGACACATCTATGAAAGGAATAAGCTAGCCAGCTTGAGCGTATGATACCGTGCATGGAACTCGACCTGGGTTTAGAAGGTGGTTGATTGATCAGAAGTCGTGTGAACCTATATCACCTTCTAGGCTTTGTTACCTGTAAATTGCAGCATGAACACAGAAAGAGACGTAAAATGCCCAATCTATGATATCAGGTAACAGGAGATGGGATGTGTCACGTGCTACTTCACATCCTAGGAGAGTTCACGCCTCCTGGTCTCATTTGAGTTTTACTGAATGTCACTTCAGAGTAACAAACTGCATTCCTCTCCTGCTACAGCACCGAAGGTCTCTCTAAGCTGTGGAGCACTAGCTTTCCCCACCAAATGAATAAACAAGTTACACATCAGGTACCCATGTACTAATCAACTTCATCGACCCCATGAACTTTAACGTGGGCTTCTCAGCCAGCAATAACGTCACCATTCCGCTTGCTGGGCACCTGGTGACCTAAACAGACTCTTCCTCTACCTGCTCTAGCGTCACATTTGCTCGGCTTTAAGAGGGAGGAGCGGCGGCAGCTGCTGCAGGCGCAGCGGCAGCGGCAGGCGCAGCAGCAGGAGCAGCGGCGGGAGCAGCGGCAGCGGCAGGCGCAGCAGCAGGCGCAGCAGCGGGAGCAGCGGCAGCGGCAGGCGCAGCAGCGGGAGCAGCGGCAGCGGCAGGCGCAGCAGCAGGCGCAGCAGCGGCGGCAGGCGCAGCAGCAGCTGCAGGGGCAGCGACGGCTGCGAGCGCAGCAGTAGCAGCAGAAAGCGCAGAAGCAGCAGGAGAAGGAGCAGGCGCTGGCGCACCAGGAATCATCTGCAGCAAAAAAAGGGTAACTTGAGTACTATCCGTATGCAAAAGCAACGTTATGAGGAATCGTGCTTCTTACCTTCTCAGCTTGACTGAGAAGATCCCCGAGCACCTTGGCTTCGTCGTCAAAGCCAGCCTTTTTCACCGCCTGCGCACGTTCAGGGAAAACGGTGAGTGGGATTTCGCGATTACGGATATGAATCGGGTAGTAATAACAAATGAACAGCACTAACCTCGTTGCATTGTGCAACGGCTACCGCTGCTTTCGCCTTTTCAACATAGCCAGCTGCATCCGTCAACGAGACGCCACCGATGCTGAAGCCCTCGGCTGCGGGCGCGGCTGCGGGCGCTGCCTGCAAAGAAGAGCAGAAGCTGCTGTTAAAAACTCGCGCTTCGAGTAATACGAACGCGTGCCCTAACCACAACCGAATAAATATTGCTTACTTCCGCCTTCGTCTCCGTAGCGGCGCTAACAAGGGAAGCGGCCTTGTTGAAGAAATCCATGCTGGAAAACTCGGAGGGGAGAAGGAATCAAGCGGAGGAAACGACCGAAAATGAGCTGTGGCGTCCTTTCAGCAGTGAGACCTGAAAAAGACAATCTGAAGTTGAAATGTCACAATGCTGTGCATTGAAGTCCTCTCTGTGAGGTTGAAATGTCACAAGCTGCTGGTTGCTTGTGACTCCTTGGTTCTTGCAGCTTGGCCGGTCCAGTAACGTGAGCCACAGGGCAAAGGGCTGACTGACTTCGGTTGGGTTCAGCAGAACACAGTCAGGTATGGCCGAGCCTCAATTGCGGCAAGGGCGTTTTCGTACCAGCGGGTTATCAGACCAGCCAAAGTATTGTTTCCGTTCAATAATTATGTAATCGAACGGTAGAAAATGGTCCTGCAATACTTCAGCCACATGTCTGGTACAGATTCTTGCAGACGGAGGATAATTCGAGATTTTTTAGGAAGTCAAAGTGTCGACAACTGGCGAAACCTCACCAGTGGGAACCGAACCAGAGGACTCGGAAACCAAACCACTGATGAACCGCCTTCACCGACCAATCAAACTGGCGCACGAAAGGCCAGACCACTTTCAGCCAAATCTACCCAACCAAACCCAGAGGGCCAAATATCCCAGAGGTCAGGCTACAAGTTGCCACGTCACGAGATTGTCTTACGCGCTCATTGGCTTGAGTCAGGGCTGAGCACCCAGAAATGTGACGAATTGCCATTCTGTAGCAAGTTGGTTACAGAATTCACTGCCACGGGGGACCAAGATAGCAATTTCGCCTTTCTGCCCTTTCGCACCAACAAGGAATTTCACCCAGAAACGGAACTGCTTCTACTGCGAACCAGTCTAGCTCCAACCAGGGATTCCAAGGGAGATCCTACCCTCCAGGTATAGCGGGAATCCCATTTCAAACCACAACGGCTCTCTTACACGGCTAGGGGTTTCGTGGCCTCTCATTGGCCACCACTGGTAGTTCGAGATTGAGCGACGCGGCGGCAGATGTCGAACTGGCAAAATAACGGATCCACCTGATAGATTTACAAATCGACGGTCGAAAATCATGGGCTTTTCGTTCGCTCCTTCCTACCCTTGATTCCCGCTTCCTTCAACGGACCCTTTCTGGGAGATCTCTGGATTCTCTTTTTCGATGTAACCGCTTGACGGCGATTGGGACACGTGACGGAGTGTAGCAAACGGAGGGTTCCAAACCACCTGAACCGCACCATCATGTGACACGTTGGAACTTCGACCTACGGTTGAGATTTGAATCTAGCCCCAACCTCCTCAAAGAGTAACATTATGGAACCGTTAGATTTACTTTATGAAACCACCGTCATTCCAAGTGAGCCTCAATCTGTGACCCCCTCGGCTGATTCTGGCCCGTTCTCAGCCATTTTCGACTCGATTTCTCTCCAACATGGTCGATTCTGCTCATTTTCAACTGAGTTTCCGCCACCTGAGAGCGTTCTCCTTCGTCTTGCTAGCGTAGCTCTTCCATTTTGTTTTCGGTAGCCGTAGCTCTCCGCTCCCATCGAAATCGTTCCTCAATCAACATTGGAATCTTCGAGATTTAGCAGCCAAATCCGCCAAGCTGCACTCAGTTCGTTGTGCAGTTCCAGCCTCCGAACTTTGGTATGTACTTCGTCGCTGATTCGTCATTTCTTGCAGATTCTAGCTTGTTCTTCACATGCGAGATTTAACTCAACAGATTGCGATTATTTTCGCATTGCAGGTATTATTCACGTTCACAGACCACTTGAACTCGACTTCGACGCGCTTCAGCGACTTGTACATCGTCGCAAAGCTGAAGTCGTGACTCCAAATCCAGCAATTTCTGGTGAGCGTCTTTCATTTCGCCGTTTTCAGTCCGTTTCTCATCGTTTGTAGTAATATCCGTAGCCTATTCTCACCTCGTTTTCAACCAACTGAGCTTTATTTTTCTTGATATTGTGCAGGTTCTGCTCACGCTGTCTCGCCAAGCAAACGGTTGGCGACCACTTGCTATGTGATTAGGCGTCGCCAGTTTGTGGTTTCGCGTTTTTTGGTGAGGCTTTCGTCCTCCACGCGTCGTCGCACGGCGGAATCGTCGTCTGCAATTCGCCTCATGGCGAAATCTTCATCCGCAAATCGTGGCATGGCAAAATGGTCGCGCGGCAGCAGCATCAGCTCCTTCTACAACCGCCAGCTAAGTGCCTTCTTCAACCCTCGCACTCTGTTGCCTTTTGTGCTCGCACCATGCATCATATGCCTCTTTCACTGCTCTCTGTCACACCCATGAGACCTCCCTCCCCCAAGGTAACAGGTATGATTTTCTTGGTACAGCCTCCGGTATTTGTTTGACTTTGGTTCAGCTGGTACGAGGTCTCTTGGGTGTGCCACTGCAGCAGTCCATTCATGCACGCATCAACTTGCACTTTCTGCACTCGTTGCTCTCCCTTCACTCCACTCGTCTGCTTCTTTCCTCATCCCTCACCACGTCTGTGCTCCCCCTTCACTCCCCCGTTTTCTCCACCTCCTCCTTCCTTCCTCGCTCTGTCCTGATCTGCCCTCTCTTGTCCCAGCAGGTCGCTTACATGGGAGTGGCAGTGGCGGGGGACACGGATTGCACAGGCAGCAGCTGCTCTCCACCCAACCCACCCACAGCTAACTACCCCGCCCTTACTCTCTTCTCCCAACCCTCACACTCTGTTGCTTTTCGTGTGCTGCCCTCTGTCCCACCCAAGAGACCTGAGCCTCCCTTCAAGCTTGAGCCTCTGGTCATGCCACAACGACAAGCCACAGACCCCTTTTTTTTCTGGTAAACCACCCCTGGTACAGAAGGTATCCTTTCAGGTTAAGCCTCCCTTGGTATAGAGCCCTTCTGGGTTTGTGGCTTGAAGCTGAGACTGCTCCAGTGGCCCCCTTTTCTGCTGTCACCTGCCACCCCACTCCAACGCACCCCACCCCACCCATGCACTCGCTTTGCATTGGTACCCTAGCTGCTTACTCACTCGTCTTCAGTTCTCTCCTTGCCGGTTTAGGGGAGGGGCGTGGGGGTCAACACCGCCACTCCTCCGCACCCCTCCCCTTGTGGCCATGCAGGTGGCAGTGGTGGGAGCAGAGGGGGGCAGCACTCCACTCGGCTGGGATGGGATGGGAGAGTATCGGGATTGGGTCGTCTGGAACAAGGTGAGCCTCTTTCCCTCTTGCACTCCTGCTGCTGCTTGGTCTTCTCCACATGCTCACTTCCCTTTCTTGCTTCCTCCCTGCTTTCACGCTTCTACATGCCCTTCTCCCCATTCTCACTGCTGTCCCTTGCTTCCCTGCCTCCCTCCCTCTCCCCTCCCTCCCAGTACATTGAAGGCTGTAGCAGGGGGCAGCAGGACGGGGAGCAGGAGGGCAGCACAAGGGGGAGCAGGAGGGCAGCACAAGGGGGAGCAGGAGGGCAGCACAAGGGGGAGCAGGAGGGCAGCAGAAGGGGGAGTAGGAGCGCAGCACAAGGGGCAGCTGGAGGGCAGCACAAGGGGCACCAACAGAGCTTTGACTTTCCCTTCCAGAAGCTAAGTGCTCTAATCTCTAGGTCTCACCAGCCACTTCTTGCTTCTTGTTCCGTTCTGTCCTGCTATGATCTGTTCTCTCTGCTCGCATGTCATGCGCCCATCGCTGCTCTTGCTGCAAGGGGACACGCCCAGGGAATCAACCACCTCCCCAGGTAACAGATGGTAGGTTCAGCCTAAGGTAGCAGGTGCCCTTCTCCTCAGGTACTTACAGCCCCAGGTGTGGTAACATGTGGTAGGCACCCTCGGCCGTGTCCCCCTTGCAGCCTGTGCTCTCAGCCTTCCATTCGCTTCATCACAATCTGCTGCTTCTGCTTCTGCAGCTGTCGCCCTCCCTGCCTCCTTCCCTGCAACTGTTCCCACTCTCCCTCCCCTTCCCTCCGTCCAGATTACTTGGCAGAAAGGGAAGGGATGGTTGGGGAAGGGAGGCATGGAGGGCCTATGCCAGCAGGAGCAGCAGAAGAAGCAGCATGGGGCAGCACGGGGGCCTGAAATCTCCAGCTAAGTATATTCTCCTCCTTCGAACGTTGTCAATTGCTCATCATTCTGCTTTGATTTGTATCTTGTTTTCTTAGACGCTTTCTTTGAATTCTTCCCACTGGTTGGGTCCCAACTCAAAGGCCACAGACCCCTACTTCAGGTAATCCCTCAGGTTCAGGTTCAGGTTCAGGTTCAGGTTCAGGTTCAGGTTCAGGTTCCCCTTTGAGTCTGTGGCTTGTGGCTGTGCTTCCACCAGTGGCCCTTCCCTTCTCTCCCCCTTCAGTTGCTTGGACGTCGTCCTTAGTCCCCTCGCTGCACACTGACTTCTGCTGTGTGTGCATTGCAGGTGGAGGGGAGGGGCGTGTGGGTCAACACCGACGCTTCCCCACGCCCCTCCCTTGTGGCTGTGCAGGTTCCATGGGGATAGGAGGGCGGCAGCACTGCAGCACACTGGAATTGGCGCCACGAGGGAGAGTTTGGGGATGGGCTTGGCCTTGCAAGGTACGCCGCCTCCCTCTTTGGCTCACCGCTCTCTCCCTCTCCACTTCATTCGCTGCTGCAGCTCTCCTCAGTTCTGTCATTCTCATATTTGTTTCTTCTCGTATTGGCAAGAGTGTTTCTATTCATGTCCACTCACCAGTTCCTCCGGCTACTCCTCTCCTGTCCCACTTCTCCCTTTTCAGCCCGCTACCAGGCTGATTAGCATCAAGGGAAGGCTGTGCACACCGGCAGCCGAGCAGCAGAACAGGAAGGCTGGGAGGAGGGCTGCCGGGGAAGGGAGTCACCTGGTGGTGCTGCACCTGCCTTGTGCTCGCCTCCAGCTCTCACGCCATCAGATAAGTGAACCTTCTTCCCTGCCCTCACCCTTGCCTGCCACGTCATCTCTCGTTCCCTCATGTGCTTTGCACCCTTCCACTTGAAACAAGTCGCTGGTTGGGCCTGGCTCACATGCCACAGACTCCCCACTTCAGGTAACCCCTCAAGTGTAGG